ATTGCCTAATGCAAACAACCGCAGGAGCTCTTCGTGCTCAGCTCAGCTCAGTTCAGTTCAGTTCAGTTCACCCATGCTTATATTCATAGACTCCCTGACCTCCTCCCTTCTCTACGGATCTGCACTGGGAGAAATATAGGGTCTGAGTGTGAAGGTGGCTAAAAGTGTGCAACGCTGGAAACCTCTTAGTTTAGTACTTACTCATTACCTATACTTACTCACTTATTCATTACATATTAAGGATGCCGAAATGCTTAGCTGCCACCGCTAAGCACTGATTTCTCTGAGTGCACATTTGTTTGCATTTCTGTTGCTGCTGATTGTTGTTGCTGGCAGCAGCAGCAGAAACGGAAAAAGTGCTCTGTAAATACGCAACGAGACGCGTCGTATAGTATTTAGGCAGTAGTCCTTGCTGGTCTCCTCGTCCTGCCCCCTTGGCCTCACCTATAATTGTGTGTGTGTGTGTGTGTGTGTGTGTGCCGTTTGCGAGCGTCTTTTTATGAACTTGTTAACAATCTAACGACCTTTTTGCCCGGCTACCTCATTGTTGGTGTAGCATGCCTGCGCCATTGCCTTCTGAATTCCGTATGTCGTCGAGTTTTTTTTAAATGTTTATTATTATAAAGCGACGAATCCGTACATGCAGTACTAGTACCATAACATTGCAATTAAACATATAAATAATATAACCAAACTTCTCACTTATCGTGGGAAGACTAACAACAGAGTCTCAAACGTCGAGGGGGTCTTTAAAGCTGTCCAATTGTTTTGGCAAAGCCCTTTCTTTTAAGCCTTCTTAGAGGCCTGGCAGGGAGTAGGCGTCTTGCTAGCATGCTGTGGTGTCTTTTAAGCCTATCACTGTATCTGCTTGTGTGCCTTGAGATCTGTTCTTCCACTGTATGCAGATTAAGGTCCCGATGAAGGGTTGAGCTACGTACATAGTATGGGCAGTTGGTGATGGCACGCATTGCACGATTTTGCAAGACCTCAATGCGTTTATAGTTCGATTTTGCAGCAATACCCCAGATCTGCACTCCATATAGCCAGATCGGGGCTATACAGTGGGCGTATACTGCCCTTTTGGCTCTAAGTGTCATGGTGCTTCTTCTGTTGATCAACCATCGCAGTTGTTGCATTCTCTGACCGCATCTCCGTGCCGCAGCTTTTAAGTGTGGGCCAAAGGTCAACCGTTTGTCAAGGGTGATCCCAAGGTATTTAGCCTGCAGAGGTTGTTCTAGGGTTACGCCATCAAATTGTATGGGTGGTGTATCGTCGAGTGGCGCATCAAATGTTTGGGCTTAGCAAATATTTGCATACTTTCGGGCTGCTCATGAAAATAACATAATTTGATTTGGTAATGTGATTTTGGTTTGAACAAATGTAAACATATGTTTGCGTTTGCACAGATACCATATTTTGGTGATTTTTTGTGGCAGCAGCCTCACGTAAAAGTGTCCAGTGATTTATCGGTATTTAATAGTCTTAGTCCAGCACTGAGAGCAATGCTTGCACATCAGGAATCGGTTGGGATTTAATGCAAGAGGAGCTGCTTAAATGGCACACAAATATTGCATGAGCCTATTGTCCTAAAAGTATGCAACACAAGGACCATCACTTCGCCAGCGATGGCAGGACATAGTTCATTATTTATTCATAGCATTCAGCAGAGAAGTGTTTATGTGGCAAGGTCCTAACTCTGCAAGTATCTCCACTTTGGCCCACAAATTGGCCAACAGCAAGAGGCATCTCGCAAAAAAGGGCCCAGTGCCTCGACAAAAAAAATAGAAGAAAAATATGCAAATGTAACTTTTTTGGCCCTGCATAAAAAGAAACTTTTTGATTCAACCTCTAGTTTGAGGTCTGGCACCCGAAACAAAATTGTCAATATTGTAAACAGATTCCTTTCGACCGAAGCTGATTAGATTGGATCGAAATGGGGAGGTGGAAGGCATGAGGAGCCCCCACTCCTTTTGCCCCACATAATTGCAACTCTTGTTCCCGACTCCACACGTGCTGGCCAACTTTTGCATTGCCATTCGAGCGGTAACATTTTAAAGCTTATTTGGTCCAGAACGCACGTAGCAAACTCCTCGGTTCCCTGGGAGACCAAGAGACCAATAGACCAATAGACCAGTGGACCAGTGAACCAGTAGCATATTGGGCTGTGGGCGGTCAAAATGGCCAGCCTTTGTGTAAATCTTTATTGAACACTCAAATCCTAATTGCACCCAGGGTGATCACTACATAGTAAGTGCGACGTTTGTCCATGTTTGTGAACGGAAAATGGTCAACGAGTCGGTTCATTTGGGGACTGGATGGATAGTTTACAAACGGAAAATGGTAAAATGGTAAAATGGTGCTGATTTGTTTGGTTCTGACAAAAGGATGGCCCCAATGATGAGTCTTGTCTGTCGCATGATTTTTGGTGAACCAAACAGGAATGCATGGTCTCTGTTGACCTTGAAGAAGCAGCCTCTCCATAATAAGTATTAGCTCTATCCGATTTGATTTTCAGATATCCCTTTTCAAGTTGAGTAAAAAAAACTTACAATCTGAAGAAGGAAAAAAAATACTGAAGATATTCCTTGCCTGCAGCTAGACACAAGATAGTCCTTTTTGCCAGATGGTGTGTAAAAGTAAACAATAGTTACATTGATTAGGGTCTAATTTCTGCTTAAAGCCCGACCAATTTGCATTTCTATGGACGGATTTCGAGGCCTTTCATAAATACGTCCCTGTTTGAGCAATATAAATTTGCTCGGCAGCTGTCAACTTGTATTGCCATGCATATATTAGATTCCCAAACCACTTGTTTTTAGGGGTTTAAACTTTTCCTTTGTCCTTCTTTTATATAAACAATCCATAGCTTGCCATACCCTTTCAAACGTGTGTATAAAAATAGAAGTACAGAAAAAGTTGACTAACAACATTAAGCAATATGGGCAAAACATGTCATATGTTTATTTATTTTTGGAAGCAACGGGTATGGCATTTTGCTTGAATGGTTGAAGTTTCTTGAAAACTCCTAGAATAAACAATGTATTAAAATGGCAGAGCTATTTCAGGACTTAGCAAAATAATCCATTGGCTAGACAACAGATTTCAAGTGCACAGTCAGCCCTTCGATGGAACACTCGTATCCCCCAAGAAACCTGGTGGAAGCCACCATTGATCAGAGGTATATGGGTCCTTAAAAGAATAAGACACAAACAAGTTTAAGGAAATGGCCGCAATCGAAAGAAAATATAATCGACGAAGCGAACAAATGCCCCGCAATAATAAACGATAATTGATAATAACATTTTGCTACCTTCCTTCCGCCGAATAAAGACATACATATATATGTATGAATGTGAAGGGGAAATCAATAAAACCGCTGGTGAAAACATTTGGCCACAATTTCAATTTTGTGGCACAGAAAGCAGAGAGAGCCGAATAAGAAGCGCAGGAACTGGGGAACATTTCAACAATTTCCGCCTGCCACCGCCTGGCAAAGTGAAAATTTTCATTTTCGCAACTGTCCCAGTATGGAATGTGCCATTTCTTCGACACCTCCGCACAATTTCTATGCGACTGCACACCGCGGCGACAAAGTTAGACGAAATGTCATCATTTCCGTTGGGAAAACTGTGCGCGCTCAACCGGCAACGCCGTGGAAAATGGGTGGGAAAACCGCCGCTTAGTTTTTCCACAGCGGAAAATGATGGCGCTGTGACTGTCGACTGTCGACCGTCGTTGACTCGTCCTGTTGACTGGAGAAAGGTGCAGAAAGGTTAACTAAGAAAGCCATGCAAATGCCTTTTTATTTTCCCACAAACTTTGGGCGCACAGAAAAAAAAAAAAAAAAAAAAATTATAATATAGAGAATTCCCGGGAATCAAAGAACTCTTTACTGGTCCCAGCCAATCCCTCTTACGGCTCTTAAACGAAGCGTAAAATTGTTAAATGAGTGCGAATGTCTACAGCGAAAAGGACCCCGCTACAAGGATCCCAACTTTTCATCCTTTGACCATTTCGCAGCATACTAAATTATTGATTAACCATGTTGGTCGCCATGCACGATTGCTTCTTAGCCTACTTCAACTTTCCATACTCGTAGCTCAAATTGAATTTAGTTGGTATCCCCGTCCGGATTTCAATCGATTTTCTTATAAGGAATTTCTGGTTTCTGGTTTCTGCTTCTGGTTGCTTGTTTCGATTAAACATGTTCTATTAAGATCTAAGGAAGTGTTCCCCATTAGCTCGTGAATTAGCCTTTGAAAGCATGCAGGCTCTAGGCCATAGTATTTTTGTACTTGCATGGCTTGCGAACACAAATATATTTACGAAATGTATTTGAATTCGAAGCATGTTGCTTTGCCAGTTTCCAGTTTCATAAGCAATCCTTCTAAGGGGCCGCAAATAAACCTAAAGACTCTAATAGGTCACAAGGGAAACAATAAGGCCATTTTGCGTGGTGGAAACCTCACACAAATGATGATGTAGCCAGGACAACAGAAAGGAACCACATTGATATTGATGGCGTTGATAACGGCAGGGATGTCGTAATAAGTTATGTTGCCCAACTGAGGAACCGCCAGTTTGTCCTCTAGTTTTCACCTGTTAAAGACAAAGTGGCCTTATATTTCATAACTTTCGGGGAATTGCATTTGGCAAGCAAAGAGTCGAGCGAAGCAGTTAAATTGAGTTTGTTTGCTTTCGTTAAAGGAAAAGAAAACTAGTTTGAGGTTCTAATTGATACTTCGAGTACAAATAAACCTCTTTGCATAGCTACCCGAGCATTCAATTTTGACTTTCAAGGCGAACATTTTGTCAACTTTATGACAAGAAATACTCAATTGAAGACATTTAAAAGTATTAGCGTTGTGTAAGCCAAAGGATGCTGTTCTTATATAAAGGGGTGATATAATTGTTCATGCTTAACGTCTACTTAAAAAGTATTTTATCTCACAAATTTACAACACAACTGTATTACAGAATAGGTAACAATTGGGCACAGACTTAAGTGTTTTCGAAGCTAGTAATTAAAACGAGGTTGTAATGGCTGCTGCGTGGGTACAGTTCCAACAATTAGGAACATAACTTCTTATCCTACTAACTAATATCCGAAACTTTACAAAATGTGCTTCTTCTAAAGCTTTAAAACTCTTGATCCCACCCGCTCAGTTCCTCTGGTGGCTCATAGTCGTTCTCAACACCCGAAGGACCAAAGTATTGCAAGTCGGTCCAACTCTTCAAAGGTCTTTTGATGGGAGACGGCAATTGCTTCTGTTTCAGTCTCTGCCAGTCGAGACTTTCGAACCAGCTGTGCCGCTTGATATCGGCGATTCCCTTCCGCTGATAGCCCAGTCTTTCCGCCGGAAGTTGCTTGCAGAGATGCCGCACCAGGTGCTGCGCGGACTTGGGGATGCGCGATGGCATATGGATGACGTCGATGCCACTGAGGATTTGCTGATAGATCTTGATCTGATTAACGCCCCTGAAGGGGGTTTTGCCAACCAGCAGTTCATATACGAGAATGCCCAGTGCCCAATAGTCGACGGCTCGGTCGTGTCCACGATCCAGGATGATCTCAGGAGCCACATACTCCGGTGTACCCGCAAATGTGTTGGTCTTCTCATTGTGCCGCACAAACTTGGCAAATCCAAAATCGACCTGAAGGAAATTAAATGTTTGTACTATGCTTATTACTGTCAGATCGTTTGAAAACCCATTTAAAGCCGTCTAAAAGTATGCTGCGATACCTCATATAAAGTTTAGCTTTCTATAGCATACTTTTAAGCATGCATAATTAGTTCTTAATACGAAGCACACATCTAAATAACCTAGCATACTTTCAAACACCTTTAAGGGCGGCGTTTCTCAGCTTAAAACAGTTCTAGGCAGTTCTGTGACTACCATCGAGCACATAAATACCAGTTTGCAATAGCCATCAGTGCCCAGCATCAGGTTCTCGGGCTTCAAGTCCCTGTAAATGAAGTGGTGCGAGTGCAAGTAATCGAAGGCCTCCACGACACAGCCCGCTATAAATTTGGCGGTCTTCTCATCGAAGTACTGGCGCTTTGACATCACCGTCCATACATCACCGCCCATGCACGCCTCCATTAGGAAGTAAACGTACTTGTCATTGCGGTACGTGCGATAGAGTCTGAAATAAAATGCTGTATTTTATCTCAGCGAAGTTAGGAGCTTAGGTTACGACGCACTGTACTATGAAGGGCGATTGACGGCACTTAATCATGACGTTCTTCTCGTTGTAAACGTGCTCTATTTGATCTTGCTTGACCACCTCGATTTTCTTGATGATCTTCAGTGCCAACGCCTGTTGGTTGTAGGCCACCAGGTCCACGCGGCCAAAGGCTCCGCAGCCCAGCGTGGCTATCTTCTTCAGCTCCGAGATGGCCACTTGGGAGTACTCGTTGTCGAACTCCAGGGACTTGCTGCTGGACCGGCCACTCGTATCCCCGCGCTGACCACTGGGCTTCTCGCGCAGCTGCTTTATGGTTCCCAAATAGCTAATGAAGGCTCTAAAAATAGATGGAACAAGTGAAGAACGTATTATGTCTATAATATAGGGGAAGCAGAAGGGAAGATAGCGAGCTGTGATGTCCAATTTGCATGCGTTTCCAAGCGCGCCGCTTGTCATAGAAACCCCCAATTATGCAATGCATCGATACGTAGCCCCAAGTAGCCTGTCGAGCACTCACTCTCTGTCCAGCATGAGGACCTCGGTGCCCGGGGCATCCGCATAGACACTGGCCTGACGCACATCCGCATTGAGCAGGGCCTGCTCCCCGAAGTAGTCACCGCGCTTTCGGTTGGCCACAATCTGCTCCTGCTGCTGGTTGTCCCGCTTCTTAATGGTCACAGTGCCGCACCGGATGATGTAGAACTCGTTGCCCAGCTCACCTTCGCGGACAATGCAGCTGTCGGTCTCGTAGAATTTCTGCAATACAATAGGAGCAACTGAGTTAGCGGTGCATCGCATAGATAGCTAGGATAATGGATTACCCTCTGCAGAAGATCCACGACTTTGAGCAGCAAACTTTGGTCGAACTCCTGCAGGAAAGGAGCGGAGCGCAAGAACTGGAGGTTCTCCTCGCGTTCCCTGGACCCAGAGATTTGCATGATGGCCCTGAAGGTTTCGCGTGCGATTTTCCAAACCCGTGCATCGGTGGCAGCTGAGAAAAGGACCCTCTGATTTATATATGCTCCCTTTTTTTTGTTTTCCAAAGTTTTTCCAAACTAGAGAACTCACCCTCTACGGACGCCTGGCGCGGAGCATTGTAGAGGATGGCCAGTTCACCGAACACGGTGGCTGGTCCAAAGCTGGCCACCAGTTGGCCCCCACGGATGACATCGTACTGGCCCTCGGCGGAGACATATATCTCGGAGCCCTCCTCGTGCTCCCGGATGATGAGGCTGTGCTTCCTGTAGCTGGCCGGGGCCATTGCATTGATAACCATCTCCTTGCGCTCCTTGTCCATTAGATTATTGAGGAAATCATTGCGCTCAATGGCCGTTCGTATGAGATTGCGTGTGCTTTGGAACGGATTCATTGGGTAATAATCAGCGGATTGTTTGTCTCTAATTCGGCATGGAACATCATGCTGCTGTGGTGGTTACTTACCCTTCGTCCTTTGCAATAGATTCGATTTCAATGTCACCCTGAATGGGAAAATTGGGACGGACATAGATGAGGCCACCTTCCACGCGATGTGTTTTTGGTGTCGAAGAATCGCTGGACTTCTCTCTTCCTGCTATTTGATCCTTTTAGTATTTGTGTGTGCAATTACCGAAAAAAGGAATTGGATAGTGCAAATGATAAGATAGCAGTAACGTTATTTACCCTATGAAACGGTATTTTCTTTAATAACAGCTCTTGGAACTTGTCTTTAAGATTCACTAACCACAATATTTGGAAGCCAGAAACAAAGGTAACTGGATATAAACGTTAGGCAGCGTTATTGCGCCAAAGAAGCAACATACGCCTTCGGAAAGGAGCTATCTAAGCACCTATTAGCCACAGGCTGCCCATGGAGCAGCCCCAGGAAGCTGAGGGAACGGCTCCTTCGGTGGCGAAAAAGTTTTGGTTCGTGTTTGTTGGCGAACAATTAACGTTTAACTTGTTTTCACAAGTGTGCGGGGCTGTGCTCGGCTCAATTGCAACCAGCTGTTCCGTGTTTCGGGCTCCCCTTTTGAGTCCTGGGGCAATAAAAGGTCACAGGAGGTGTACGAGTATGTGGACCCCCGCACGAATGTTGCATCAAATTGCAAATGGAGTGTAGCTTTTCGACAGTTAGACACACTCACAGGATGTCAGTGAATGGAAGTTCTGGGTATTTGAAGGTACTCGATGTCAAGCCCAGTTACTTGTTTTCAGATTGCATAACTAGGTGCAATTGAATGCAACTGATAAGTTATTACTTTTAACAAAAACATTTAATAAAAATGTATAAATGTAGGTGTAGTAATTCTACTTTACTAATGCTACGTTCGTTATCTTTCCACTTAAGCATTTGAACATTTATGCACAATTAATTGTCGCAATTATTCAAGAGTAGTGACTGCTTGATAATAATTGTGATTAATTAGTATTGCCATTCGGCCAACCATTTCATTGCAAGCATGAACAAAAAATGAAAACGATGTACCTATCAAGGATCAAGTACCACTTCCCCACCATTCGCCCCATCTGGTGAGTAAATGTGCCCCCATCTCCCCCACTTCTATTCCGGAAAAACCGCAGAGTTCTGGCCAGTTTGCCGGTGATGTCATTTGGCAAGCCACCTCATTACTTACTTGACTATTCGAAGCATCCTGCTGGTTCTCCAGCTGCTGCTCCTGCTGCGGTCGCTCCACGCTCCGCTTCTTGCGCAGATGGAGCGGCGTTCCGGGGACGAGGAGTTCCGGAGGCAACGGCGGTGCCGGCGGTATGTTAATATCGGGCATCGTGGACACACGTCGGCGGTGCTGGCTGTCCGTCTGGCTCTTGGCCGGATAATTGAGTGACACGTTGCTGGAGCTCTTGGCGCGGGGCGGAGCCTGGAGTGGTGCTTGCAGGCTCCCCCTGGAGTCCTGTTCCCTGCCCTGTTCCTGTTGCTCCTGTGGCAGGACGCCATTTGTCAGTTTGGCGGCGTGGCTGCTGTTGTTGTTGGCATCGCTGCTCTGCCAGGACAAGGTGTCATCCGTTTGCTGGGCGCCTAGTTCCTGCGTGTGACCAATGAAGAACTTTACAGGACCCTCGGTCACAGGTGTTGTGGCTGTGGAGGTGCTCGAGGGTGTGGCAACATCGTCGTCGTCGTGGGCGACGCCCTCATCAATTATGCCATTCACATTCACTTTGAGTTTTGACTTGCCGCCATCGACGACATCGACGACATCGACATGTGCATTAGCACCCGGCTGCAGCGCCACCCCCTCCTCCAGCGAATCCTGGCCATCCCCTGCGTCCTCTGCATCTAGCGCAGCCTGCTCATCCTCGATCTCGATGCTGGGCACCTCGGTGGGCAAGGCGGTGGGCCGACGCTCTTTGACTGGTTTTAATTTCGAACTTGAGCGTGTGACATTAATTGCACTGCCGCCGGAAGAGGACACATCCTGCGTCTGCAGCTTGTCCTTCTTGGAGAGGAACTTCAGCTCCTGGACGCCATTGTGTGCGCTGCCTCTTTCGGCCACCGACTGCAGGGTACACCTGGCGGGGGCGGGCGGCGAGCCGGGCGGCTGCTGCCTGAGGCGCTGAAGTTTGGCCTAAAGCACCAAGGCAGCGGAGGATCCACCAAAACAGCCAAACAAGACAAACACAGCGGTGCAAAAGTTCGGTGGAGGTGTTTCCAAGTGGGCGTGTGGGCGTGTATGTGGGTGTGGTGTATATTTACAAGTGTTTTGTGCCGATATTATTGTGTACACCACCGAATCGTTTGAAAGTATAAGAAACATACAAGCATGTGTGCAAATATTAGTCGAGTCCCAATAAACAGGTGGAGCTGGTACATAAAGTGCAGGTGCGAGGTTTCTGGGCTCTGGGCTCTGGTTACTGGGATACTCACCTCACTGGCACTCGGAGTGACGATGGGCGAGTACAGTGGCTTCTCCTCGCGACGGATGTACTGGCCAATTTGCTGAAAGACGAGGAATGCGCATTTGGGTATAATTCAAATTTATTTGGAACAAATTTATGCACGAACAACAAAGCCTCCGCCTGCGTTTTTAGAAACGCTTTATTTGTTTCATTCCAACATTCCAATAGTCAACAGAAGCCTATTGATTGGCCTCACTTATCACTAATGTTTACTCCTCATGACATATTTATAGTTATATTCCGATGAGAATTGCTCTTGAATCCAACAGCATCTGGCTATCATGTTTAATTTAATGAATCCGGTTTTGCTAACATGGTTTTTATACCCGTTTCTCGTAGAGTAGAGGGGCATACTAGATTCGTTGAAAAGAATGTAACAGGCAGAAGGAAACGTTTCCAACCATATAAAGTATATATATTCTTGATCAGGACCAATAGCCTAGGGGATCTCCCATGTCCGTCTGTCCGAATGAAAGCCTTAATCTCAGGAACTACAAAAGCTAGAATGTTTATTTCCAAATGTTGCCACCAATGTTGTAGACATCATAAAAAAAATAAAATATAGTATAGTAAATACATATAGTATAGTACATATGTCCCAAGCCTGAAGTTCTAAACTCCATAACTCAACTTATCTTAATCGGATTTGGAAGTGGCATACCTCTAAATAATTGTGGCGCAATTCTCTAAAAATCTGCATTCAAATTTAGAAAATTTTTTTTTTTAATTTTTTTGTCATTTTTTCTGATGTATGATGTAGAAATTCCAAAAAATTAAAAAATGTCCCAAGGCTGAAGTTCTATACTCCATAACTCAACTTATCTTAATCGGATTTTGAAGTGGCATACCTCTAAATAATTGTGGCGCAATTCTCTAAAAATCTGCATTCAAATTTAGAAATTTATTTTTTTTAAATTTTTTTGTCATTTTTCTGGTGATTGATGTAGAAATTAAAAAAATGAAAACATGTCCCAAGGCTGAAGTTCTATACTCCATAACTCAACTTATCTTAATCGGATTTTGAAGTGGCATACCTCTAAATAATTGTGGCGCAATTCTCTAAAAATCTGCATTCAAATTTAGAAATTTTTTTTTTTTAAATTTTTTTGTCATTTTTCTGATGCATGATGTTGTAGAACTTCAAAAAATGAAAACATGTCCCAAGGCTGAAGTTCTATACTCCATAACTCAACTTATCTTAATCGGATTTTGAAGTGGCATACCTCTAAATAATTGTGGCGCAATTCTCTAAAAATCTGCATTCAAATTTAGAATTTTTTTTTTTTAATTTTTTTGTCATTTTTCTGATGTATGATGTTGTAGAACTTCAAAAAATGAAAACATGTCCCAAGGCTGAAGTTCTATACTCCATAACTCAACTTATCTTAATCGGATTTTGAAGTGGCATACCTCTAAATAATTGTGGCGCAATTCTCTAAAAATCTGCATTCAAATTTAGAAATTTTTTTTTTTTTATTTTTTTTGTCATTTTTCTGATGTATGATGTTGTAGAACTTCAAAAAATGAAAACATGTCCCAAGGCTGAAGTTCTATACTCCATAACTCAACTTATCTTAATCGGATTTTGAAGTGGCATACCTCTAAATAATTGTGGCGCAATTATCTAAAAATCTGCATTCAAATTTAGAAATTTTTTTTTTTTAATTTTTTTGTCATTTTTCTGGTGATTGATGTTGTAGAAATTAAAAAAATGAAAACATGTCCCAAGGCTGAAGTTCTATACTCCATAACTCAACTTATCTTAATCGGATTTTGAAGTGGCATACCTCTAAATAATTGTGGCGCAATTCTCTAAAAATCTGCATTCAAATTTAGAAATTTTTTTTTTTTTAATTTTTTTGTCATTTTTCTGATGCATGATGTTGTAGAACTTCAAAAAATGAAAACATGTCCCAAGGCTGAAGTTCTATACTCCATAACTCAACTTATCTTAATCGGATTTTGAAGTGGCATACCTCTAAATAATTGTGGCGCAATTCTCTAAAAATCTGCATTCAAATTTAGAATTTTTTTTTTTTAATTTTTTTGTCATTTTTCTGATGTATGATGTTGTAGAACTTCAAAAAATGAAAACATGTCTCAAGGCTGAAGTTCTATACTCCATAACTCAACTTATCTTAATCGGATTTTGAAGTGGCATACCTCTAAATAATTGTGGCGCAATTCTCAAAAAATCTGCATTCAAATTTAGAAATTTTTTTTTTTTTAATTTTTTTGTCATTTTTCTGATGTTGTAGAACTTCAAAAAATGAAAACATGTCCCAAGGCTGAAGTTCTATACTCTATAACTCAACTTATCTTAATCGGATTTTGAAGTGGCATACCTCTAAATAATTGTGGCGCAATTCTCTAAAAATCTGCATTCAAATTTAGAATTTTTTTTTTTTTAATTTTTTTGTCATTTTTCTGATGTATGATGTTGTAGAACTTCAAAAAATGAAAACATGTCCCAAGGCTGAAGTTCTATACTCCATAACTCAACTTATCTTAATCGGATTTTGAAGTGGCATACCTCTAAATAATTGTGGCGCAATTCTCTAAAAATCTGCATTCAAATTTAGAAATTTTTTTTTTTTTAATTTTTTTGTCATTTTTCTGATGTATGATGTTGTAGAACTTCAAAAAATGAAAACATGTCTCAAGGCTGAAGTTCTATACTCCATAACTCAACTTATCTTAATCGAATTTTGAAGTGGCATACCTCTAAATAATTGTGGCGCAATTCTCAAAAAATCTGCATTCAAATTTAGAAATTTTTTTTTTTTTAATTTTTTTGTCATTTTTCTGATGTTGTAGAACTTCAAAAAATGAAAACATGTCCCAAGGCTGAAGTTCTATACTCTATAACTCAACTTATCTTAATCGGATTTTGAAGTGGCATACCTCTAAATAATTGTGGCGCAATTCTCTAAAAATCTGCATTCAAATTTAGAAATTTTTTTTTTTTAATTTTTTTGTCATTTTTCTGATGTATGATGTTGTAGAACTTCAAAAAATGAAAACATGTCCCAAGGCTGAAGTTCTATACTCCATAACTCAACTTATCTTAATCGGATTTTGAAGTGGCATACCTCTAAATAATTGTGGCGCAATTCTCTAAAAATCTGCATTCAAATTTAGAAATTTTTTTTTTTTTAATTTTTTTGTCATTTTTCTGATGTATGATGTTGTAGAACTTCAAAAAATGAAAACATGTCTCAAGGCTGAAGTTCTATACTCCATAACTCAACTTATCTTAATCGGATTTTGAAGTGGCATACCTCTAAATAATTGTGGCGCAATTCTCAAAAAATCTGCATTCAAATTTAGAAATTTTTTTTTTTTTAATTTTTTTGTCATTTTTCTGATGTTGTAGAACTTCAAAAAATGAAAACATGTCCCAAGGCTGAAGTTCTATACTCTATAACTCAACTTATCTTAATCGGATTTTGAAGTGGCATACCTCTAAATAATTGTGGCGCAATTCTCTAAAAATCTGCATTCAAATTTAGAAATTTTTTTTTTTAATTTTTTTGTCATTTTTCTGATGTATGATGTTGTAGAACTTCAAAAAATGAAAACATGTCTCAAGGCTGAAGTTCTATACTCCATAACTCAACTTATCTTAATCGGATTTTGAAGTGGCATACCTCTAAATAATTGTGGCGCAATTCTCAAAAAATCTGCATTCAAATTTAGAAATTTTTTTTTTTTAAATTTTTTTGTCATTTTTCTGATGTTGTAGAACTTCAAAAAATGAAAACATGTCCCAAGGCTGAAGTTCTATACTCTATAACTCAACTTATCTTAATCGGATTTTGAAGTGGCATACCTCTAAATAATTGTGGCGCAATTCTCTAAAAATCTGCATTCAAATTTAGAAATTTATTTTTTTTTAATTTTTTTGTCATTTTTCTGGTGATTGATGTTGTGGAAATTAAAAAAATGAAAACATGATCCAAGGCTGAAGTTCTATACTCCATAACTCAACTTATCTTAATCGGATTTTGAAGTGGCATACCTTTAAAAAATTGTGGCGCAATTCTCTAAAAATCTGCATTCAAATTTAGAAATTTTTTTTTTTTAATTTGTTTGTCATTTTTCTGATGTATGATGTTGTAGAACTTCAAAAAATGAAAACATGTCCCAAGGCTGAAGTTGTATACTCCATAACTCAACTTATCTAATTCGGATTTTGAAGTGGCATACCTCTAAATAATTGTGGCGCAATTCTCTAAAAATCTGCATTCAAATTTAGAAGTTAATTTTTTTAAATCTTGTTTTTGTTGAAAACTATTTGAAATGCATACCTCATCTTGGCTAGCGTTTTTTCTCCACATAAAATAAATGTATGTGTTGAACTTAAAATTGTTTAGCTTAATTGTACCAAGTTGAGCACTTAAACTTTATTTTTGATTAACTTGCATGTCCAACGAATTTATTGGCAATTGTGATTGTCCTGCATGTGTCATGTTAATTTTGATCATATATCGGTAAACGTAAAAGCAATCTGATGCTGAGCATAGCTATGTACTTTGGAAGTGCCCACTTTTGGCCTGTCAGCTTAAGCCCCCAATAGGCCGATAATAGCCAATTTCCATTGTGATTTTCCGCTTTCCATAAAGGGCATTCACACTCAATGCGCATTAAAGTTGCCCATTGTGTTCCCCTTCGACCTTTCGACCATTCAACACGTCACTTAGGGATTCCACGTGAATCGTAACAGATTGATCGGCTTACAATGCCGATGAACTGGGCTTTAAACGAATCTCACGAGTTTCCATTTCTTATTTACAAACTTATTATTCCATTTGGACATTCCATTTCCATGTGGAAAAGTTTTGACACGGGTGTTGGTTGTATGTCGTAAAAGTAATTTTATGTTCGCTTTTTGTTTTGTTTCGCAAAAATGTTATAAAAATATATCACGCAGTTATGACTTGCGCCTGACATAAGTCATAATTTCGTTGAATTTATCAGTGGCTTGTGTATTTTTTAAATTTGAAAGTACTATCTATAATTTATTACAGCTTTTTTTTCATCGGAAGGTGGAGTTGCAAAAGTTTGTTATGCCCACATTGGGGTAGTCTCCGAATTCGAAGTAAAAACTTTCAAGAGGTATTACCATTATAGTCAGTAATATGAAATATAGCCTAACTTGAAGAGAAAGAATGCTCATACATAAAAAAATGTATTTTTTTTTGCATAGCAATTTTAAAAATTCGTTATGTATCTCTGATCTACAACTTGCCGATCGAGGGATCATATACAAGATTTGTTTAAACCATTTCAAACTATTTTGGTGACTTTTTTGCTAGGGGTTTTCGTAATGTATTCCAACTTTACTCAGCTGAAAAGCGTTCCCATCTTATCTTTAATTGGCACGGGTCTAATGAAATATTCAAGTCTGTTTTGGGGCCAAGTGTGGGCATAAATAAGCTCGTGTCAATTTGCGAGTCGCCAGGTTGGATCTGCTTTGATATGCTAATCGACCTAAACGACGGCATTTTGACAGGTTTTCCGTTTTCCCACGGAAGTCCCGAATTCTGGTTTTCAGCCGATAAAGTCACCGATAACGTGGCCCTGCACTCGCAGGTTGAGTGTTTTCTTCTTTCTTTTTTTGCTGGCTTGAAAGGATTCTCCCTGGCTCCACAGTCTGCGTCATTTCACGAATTCCTTCCCGGGGGGCATTTGGCCCCCTTCAAATGCCTGGCTCCCCCCCCCAAAAACATTTCGCAGTTATTTAGAATTACTGTGACGTGTAAGTTGTGCGTGCAATCACGTTCATTTCAGCCTAGAACCATGTCAGTTCGCTCCTCTGACAAAAATACGACAGATACAGATGTTTCCATAGATAGCTACACATCCGACGGATCCTGCATATTTATACGTCATTTGGAGCTCCGCCTGCAAGATGCTCTGGTCTTTGGATTTATGCATGAGCTCCATCACTGCGATTCCAGAATCCCAACCACAGCTATTTATATGCATACTTATCATATTTTTGCATACCTAATGCCAACTCGTCGCGGAATGTTTGTTATTGATGAAAAGCCAAGATTGCAGATTGACTATCTGTGCCTTTCAGATAGATATATATTTACTTAGGTAGTGGGAGCATGTGACCAAGTTGTGAGTAATATTCTAAATCATTCATTCATTAAAAGTTGTTTGGTTTGAGTATATATTGGTTTTGCAAACGTGGTTGGATTATAAAAACGTTCCCTCAAGTGTTAGAATTCTCAATGAGCTTTGAAACTACATATTTTCCCCATGCAAAAGTTAATGGGAAATAAGCCATCGGCACTCGTGTTTTTCCCTCAGGTTTTTGTATTTTTTTTCTGCTTTTAAGATAAGCCAGTTAAAAAGTGAACGTCATGGACACGAAATTGGTGATAAGACAAACTAGGTTTCGCCCCAACACACATTTTAGCGTGATTCAATACCCTGTTTATTCGGGGGGCACAAGGTCATTTCCGATCACAAAAGTACACATGAAATAATCAGATAATGAAACACTAATATTCCGATTTGGATATTCCAATCGGGCAGTTATGGAAGTGTTATCAGGGTTTATCTGATTTGAGTATTTGGTTACTGAGTGAGTTATTTGGGGTTCCATATAATTAATATATATTGGCTTTCAGCTTAGTGAACAGGAGCAGTAACTAGTGATTTAATTTTAATATTAGGTAATTAATCTATAATTATACATTAGTCTGGCATTGGGTATATCTGTCGTCGAACTTGCCCGATTTAGTTCAATGTTTCGCCTCGCATTATTTATGGTTTTCTCTCGCCGCCCCGATTAACTCAATTAAGCACTTGATGGACTTATCAGTCGACTTATCAGACAAGTGCAATACTAAATACTAAGTACTAAAGCGGAACTCACCACGGGACTATCTTGTGTGTTGAGTATCGTATCGGTGTTCTCATCTTTGGCGGGAGTGAATTTGTTTTTGCTGCGATGATGGAAAAGTCGGGGAAAGCAGGCCATATTGCACTGGATCCAGGAATCTGTATCCGTCTATTTAATATCTTTGATACTGGTCAATCTATTATTCGTATTCGTTGCCCGCTCTATTTTTATCTGAATTCGTTTGCTGCGCGATGGTTAAACACTTTGATTACCCCGGCCATATTCCCTGATTTATGGCCAAGGATTTAATTGCGGCTATAAATTTGTTGTGTTCGGTTGCAATTGTGACGGATTATGTACTCGTATGATTCGATAGTGATTGGTCTACGAATCGATTTACTTCGTCAGTATAACACTTATTGGCTTTAAGCTGATTAGCTCTGTGGTCTTAAGTCAATGCTCGATATCTATGTATTCCACAAACTATCTTATCGCATTGGAATGGTTAAGGAAACTTAAATAAAGTGCGTTGATATGTCAGGAGACTTAATTTGATTTTACATTTGATTATATACATGCATTAGGCCATATCGCATTCTACTCTTTGGCAATGCAATGCGATCATTTACAAGCTAGCTCATAAAACCCGATTTTATGTTCAGTGTGTTCGAGAATGCAATAAATCCAGTATCTAGGATGCTATTGCCAAAAAGTACTCGAAGTACGCAGTGAAAAGACAACGAGCCAGATATTGTGTAAGCCATCAGCTTTCAGTTAGCCATCAAAAACAAAGGAGCCCAGAGAATGCCAGTTGACCACATCGGTTTATCAACTGTCCCAGAAAACTGGGAGCAGCATTTGCTTTGCATCTGATAAATTTGTTTGTGGAACAAAAGTTTCAAAGTTCAAAAATTATGCGCATCGTCAACTGGCTGCTTTAATTACCACTCACAGCGAAATGCTACCAATTTCTCGGTTTTGTTTCACGGCCAAGAATCGCGATGAGTCACAGTATGCTTGCTGGCTTTTATCATCTTGGCCTTATCGTCTCCAAATGCCTAATTGTTTTCTATTTATGCGGGGGGATTTCATTGTTTGGCCAAGAGCTCTAAGGCAAATGCCCCGAAGAAAGCCAGCGATACTTGGCTTGGGGGCTTTGCAATTATCACAGCCCCACTTGGAGTACCAACAAAGTTCGGGGCAGTGCCTTAAAAATCACATACCCCTTGCATATAGCACCGTTTTATCAACCAAAGATTGTGTTGTATTTCCCTATACGATTTGTCGATAACGCCGAACAACTTTGGAAAATAAAGAACTGCCCGTTCGCATGTTTCCACATCATTTGCTTTGGCAATACAAATAAAAATTGTACCAAGTAGTACATAGAACGAGCTGAAACATTGACCACAGTAATGGCAACAGCTATATCAACAATAACGACAGGAGAAAGGCCAAAATGAATCGGTGGAGCCGCCAGTCACGAGTCACTCATTTATATTAATTTATTGGCATTTCGTTTGTAGTTATCAGCACACTTTTCTGCTTCTTTATTTGTTGGTCTTTGCTGGCTTAAATGTTGCCATTTCATTGCATTTTATAATGAAACTATTGCCTGGTTCTGTTATTTTTCAGTCCTTCAGTTTTTCAGTTTTGATTTGGTTTATAGCTCGAGCACGTTAGCTACGAATTTTGGTATTTCGGCGATAAGATTTGATGGCCAGAGTAAAGTTCACATAATTGCTGAATTTTACAAGGCATTTCGAATAACAAAAACTGACCAAAACTGACCACAACCGTTGTGTTCGTTAAATCTTGAACTACTTATTTATAACGGACTGACGCACGAGGTACTTTTTCGCGAATAAAAAAACACTCAAATGTTACCGCGAAGTTGTCAGCCATATCTTTTGATTAGATATCAATATCAAGAACTTCAAGATGATTGATACATTTCTTGACTTTCAATTTGTCAAATAGCATGGAAATGAAATTCACAAACTTGCGCACTCGCCTTTATTCACCATGAGAACTCGACAAATTCTTGAGCATTTCACTTTTTAAGCCAACCAACGAACCACTTGAGTCGAGCACGCAAAACTGGCATGTCAAATGACCGCAGAAATACAAATGGAGGGGGCTTTGGCAACCAATCGTGGCTTTTCACTTCCCGAAAAACTCCATTTCCGATAGGGTCAGCTCATTTTACACAATTCGCACGTAACAATTTCCGCTCCACGAGGGCCATTCATCGGCTGAATCACATATGGTGAATACTGCCGCCCGATCCGTAAACCGTAAACCGTAAACCTTCCGCACACCTGCCGCCGTGGAGGCTGATAACTCGACTAATTTAACGCGGCCAATTTAAATTGGCAATTTGCTCGACGCGCCAACTGCCAACTGCCACTGCGACTGCGACTGCGACTGCGATGCCAACGGCGACTGCGACCGAATCGGCCAACTGGCTGGCTTTATGTTTATCGGTATCAGTTCAGTTCAAGTGCCTGCCTAGTGGCCTTATCTATGGAGAAGTGTTGGGCTTGCCAGGCGTCACTGTTAACGCGAGACGTTCTTTTTGGGCCCACGACGCATGGAAGTGGGCCGAAAGGGGCTTGGGACCAAGTGTAATTGGAATAAGCAAATACCAACGGACTTATCTGGCCCAAACGAGCTGCTTCCTAGAGCGCCTAGAGCGAAAGCCAAACATTGTCATTTGTTTATGGCGCAGCAAGAAATGCATCATTTTCACTGCGGGGCATTTGATCGCCATTTAATCAAACTCCCATTGCCCATATTCAAGTAAACAATGCTGTTTACACTTCGGTTTGGGAATAGCAAACAAGCTAACTTGTATTCGTCATATGTACATTGCACATCGGGCTATTTTAACATGTTTTCCAATTTTATATTTTCTTTAGCTGAATAAATAAAAGGCCACATTTCATACGTTTTTATTTGGAATTTGTGTTCAAAAATATGAAAGTTATTGTGTTTAGTTTAATATTTATCTTGCAATAATAATGTAGTTTTAATTAAAATGATACTTTTGAACACTTTCATCAGTAGAAGGGTCATTAAAAATCCATTTCGTTCGTCATACGAAAGTTTTGGCACTCGGAAATAAAACTTTATATTAAATATAATGCCGTTCAAAAGTTTGGTGAAAGGGTAAACGAGATGTCACGCGCTTACCTTTCGAAAAATATGTAAATCAAATGTGGTGACGAGCGACAAGAGTTGGCGTCACAAATTAGAATTCTCGAGGCGTTCAAGATGGGCGAAAAGTTCGCGGAGTTTTTATTCATTATGCCTTAAATGCGTAACTAAAGCAATTTGAAAGTAGAACTCATTTTCACCCTCGACTTGACTTTCCACTCGTGCTAAAATACTTTTTCCCCGCGCGACTCTACGTGCCCATATGCCTAAAAGTATGCACGTATCTGGCGACATTGTCGTTTGATTAAACTTGTTAACACACACACACACCCGTATACAGCCACACACTCACCCACACCACCCCCATCTTGAAGGCCGCGCAGCAGGATGCGGATGTGGGCGCGGATGTGAATGCGGATGCCAAAGTTTGTCAGCCTGGCAGGAGCATCGCTTTAAAGTCAACGCTGCAAACTCATTTGGTCCAAGGAAGCGAACGAAGTCGAGCACAAATTCCAAAATATATATCTGCCCGGGTATTTCCTGTCCCCGCAGGAAGTTCCATTGCATAATCTTATTAACCGCACACACACACACATCCACACACACGCACAACCAAACTGAGATAGTACTCTATGAAGGCTGAATAATTTATGCATCCAATTGCCAGGCAGCGGCATTTGGCCAGAATTGTTGACAACTTGCCTGTGGCTCTGTGGCAATTCGTATTTTGATTTGGCTTGCCAAGTTTTTACTTATCCGATTAGCCCATCCTAATTACAACCGGCTGTGTTTGCATTGCCCTGCCGCACGCCACATGCCACATGCCACTTGCACACACATTTGAATTAGAGTCTAAAGTTGATTAGATTTGATTGCGCTCTAGCCTCCACTCTTCGTGAGTGGCGAACACATTGATTAACCCATCGGATTTGGGCCACAGCTCAAAAGAAATATCCGCACACGGATGGGGGCTGCAAGAAAGTGGGCTCGTGAAATATGGCAAACGAATTTCGAGGGGCGGGGCCCTTTGTGTTTTTGTTTTATGACCAGCCACGCTCGACGACACCCATGAAGGCCATGATTGATGCGCTCCTCGAGCTCCTTCGCGTTTTAGTGGATTTCCAAATTGCTTTTTTCACGCTGACAGTGGAGAGTCAACGTGAAAAGCCAGCGGCAGTTATTCAAATGCAAACGACAGCTGTCAAAATGGTTTTAACTAAAAATTCGACTTTATCTTTTCCCACTCTTTTTTTGCTTGCAGCAGCTGCCAGCAGTTGGAACAAAAAAATGGGCCAAATGTCAATGAGTGACTGGGCCGTGGCAGCCGCCAGGATTCCAATTCATGTCCTCGCCGAATGATAAGCTAGCTGCCAGCTAAAAAACGAGACCAAGACCAAAAAAAAGGAAAGTAAAGGAAATCCTTAAGAGCGGCCCCACTGCCAAAGCCAAGTCAATGACCCTCGTCCGGTTAGCAGCGACCATATGGCTGCTGACGCTCCTGCTGCCGGCGGTCCTGCCACACCAGATGCCTCCAGATGCAGACCAGAAGTTCTCCCTGCCCGCCGTGCCGCTCCCGCCTCCGCCGCCCTTCCAGCCCGGAAAGAATCACTTTGCGCTGAACGCATTCGCCGGAGGAGAGCATGCCTCCGGCGGACACGCCCACTCCTCGACGTCCAGTCCAGGATGCGGGGGAATGCTGAAGGCACGCCATGGCAACATCCAGACGCCCAATTTCCCGCACCGATTTGCCACGCCCATCGAGTGCGTGTGGATAATCGATGCCACCGATATGCCGCCGCAGGGCCAGGCGAATGTGTCCATTGTGGTGTACCTGACCCAGTTGTACGTGCTCAGCGGGCTGAAGTTCACGGAGTACATGTACTACTCGGATGACTTCAAGGTCCCAGCCCACCGCGTGTTCACGCTCACCGAGGACGACGTCACCCAGGTCACGTGGGTGCAGTTCCACAGCCAGTACCTGGAGATCCGGTTCACCATGGCCACCCTGGACGGGACCCACCTGCGCGCCCTGGATCGCCTGCTGGACGTCTACGGGTTCAACATCACCTACGAGGTGCAGAACGAGGTGAAGACTTCCCAGTGCAACGCGCTGCAGTGCCGATTCCTTGGGGATTGCTACGCTAGTGAAGATTACAGGTGAGCTCGTTTGAATAAAATTGAAAATTAAGCAATTGAAAGTACTTACTTAATGGAGCTTGCCTAAAAAGTGGGAGCGGTTAAATGGCACGAAAGGGTTCAGAAACTATTATAATTTAATGATCTTTGTTATAAATTTGACTGAAGATGATCAACATGGCGCATAGGTAATGACTATTTATTTTAGAAAACCCTTTTTAATTGTTTTTCGAGCTAAGCGTTGATTACTACAAATACACATTTAATATGCATTACTCAGATATTGTGTTGGCTTGCAATCAAAGTTGAACATTCCGATTACAGCTAGCCAAAAGTCAGTTTCGTGCAAAAGTTCTGAGTGGGAGGAGCGATTGAGGCACTCCGCGGGCAATCCAGCCCGGTTTCCCCGTGGACATGAGCACCTGCGTCCGGAACATGTAGCATATTTAAGCGGAGGCAAAACTTTTTCGGCTCCCACCATGCGGACAGTGAAAATACGGCGGAGGGAAAGTGAAAATGGTTGGAAGGCAGAGAACCGGATTCGGATGGGTTTTAAATTCAGTCTTCTTTCTGTTCAGACAAATCCATATACATGGCAATGGAAATCACCGACAGGTAGCCGCTGAAATTGTTAACAGCTCGCACATCAATCTTTCGTTCTTTTCGCTTTGGCTTTGGGGCTGGGTTTGAGTTTGGGTTTGGATTGGGGATCGTTTCAAGGCTCCCGCTCTTTCTCCACCTAAAACCAAGTGGGAGCCATACATTTGTAATGTTTCAATAAGTGGAGAGCGAAAACAAGCGAGAAACCCGGCCGGATTTCCCCCGGCGGAAAAGCGGAGGACGGCAAGCCGAAACAATGGACGGCAACCCATGTCAGTGAAAAGAAATGTACACAACATACGTGTGTACACATGCTAGTCAGCCAAAAGTCAAAAGAAAAGCGGGAAAGCTTGATGCATTTTTCCCGACTAAATCCAGGTAGTGGGTTTTATGAATAAGCTCGGCAATTGAGTTTGACGTGAGTGGGTTTGTGGCACAATGCCTTGACAAGTCGCGCAGGATCGTGATTAATTGAAGAGCTCCTTGACGCAGCGAGAGTATTCGGGGGGGTTCACCCCAAAACAGTGGCAAATAAAATGATATATTCAAGTGGAGAATCAATTATAAAGCGAAATTTGTAGGCAATTAACATGTAAATAGCACGGCGCACAATGACCCCAGAGAACGTTAAACAAATCAAATTAATTGCCCGATTTGCTGGGGGGACTTGGCTATTTACGAGTCCGTATATTTGGCACCAACTTCTGGCGAAAGTTTGCCGAAGAAAGCTGCAACTCCCACGCCTACTTAACATAATTATTATTAATTGGCTGCCCCAAGGCCGCGCATCCGGCCAACTAATTGAATATTAATATCAGTGTCGAAGTGTGAGCGAGTCAAATGCTCAGGCCCCGGAGCGCGAAATTAATATAAAAGTGACAGCTGAACTAAGTTGCATCAACATCTTTTCGCCTTATTAAAGTCGGAGTCCTGGCGCTGGAAACATAATTTCGCTCCTGCCACGTACCATCCCGTAACTTAATTACCAACCAAAGGCAAATGGGGAGCGGCCAACTCGCACTCTACGTGCCTCAGATAAGGACGTATATCGCTCCCATCCAAGGAGCCCCCAAATCTCGCAGTGCACGATGAAGCCAGATGTGTTGGGGCTGTCAAGTGACTTGTGTCAGGAGCACAGGCATCAGCATCAGCATCACAGATGCTGCGCACTCGCATAAACAACCGAACAGTCATGCTCATGTTGTCAACTCTCCAGCTCGAAGGATACGCCAGGATAAAGGGGAGTAGTCAGTGAACCCCCCTGCCAGCCTGCGCCCCCTGGTTTTTGGCTCAATCTCTCACTGCATCCTCCTTTATGGCACTCGTTTTCAGCAGCTCCTTTGTTAGGTTAATGTGCGAAAAATGCATGGCATCGGAGAAAGCTAAATAGATGATAAAAAAGTGGCGGGTGACGCACAACTGGGAGCCCGAATCTTTATGTTTCGCCCAGAATGCGTATACGCTTAGTCCTCCCCGCTTATTAATTTTTCTGCCGGCTCTGTTATGTTCGTGGAGTGGCAGCTCGTTGACTTTGCATGTGCTACAGCATATAGT